GATCGTTGCTTCACCTAAACGAAATGTACACTGTCACAAAGCCTGCAACAGCATACGTTCTTCTACCTGCGATCCTAACTTGTCGTTGCAAGGCGAGTGGTTCAATTAAGGTGGAAGTGCGCGAAGGACAAAATTGACGAATAAATTTTCTACAATTTTACTCTAAATTTTTAAACGCAATTCAATTAGTACTTGTTCGTTCCTCAAATTAATCAATACAGTGGAACCGCTCCCCTCGAGGTTCGAGATATCGAAGCTCCGCTGTATCAAAAAAGGACACACCGGTAGAAAATAGAACAATTTCCCATTCACACCACTCCTCAAATATTTAACCCGATCGCGCAGAAACACACTGAACCTACACGCTCCCGAAACGAGGGTATAAAACAGGGACAAAGAATTCCAAGGCGGAATGGCGTTACGGCGACCATAAAGATGCCGAAAAACTCCCAGAGACGTTACAAACAGGAGCAAGCGTGCAAAGTTTTCACGCGAATACGGTGTCTAGAGCGCCGCTAGAGAGAGAAACGTCTGGCTGCTCGATTTTATTTTCCTGCTGGCGAGGGGTGAAACGAACTGGAGGCCCGGCGATCGCATGAAAGATGCAACCGGTACACGATTCATCCGCGGCGTATCAATATTTACGTGAAAAGAGCGCGACACCGTCAATATTTTCTACGCGACGCGAATCGAGATTTAACGCAATTTGTCACCGTTTCTTCGCATTTCCCACACTTCCTCCTCTACTTCGCGCGCCGTCCTATCGGCGTCAAACTTTCCACACGCATTTCCATTTCAATCTGCGGGCGACCGGTCGAAAAATAAGGCGGATTTTCGCCCGCCGCGAGACGTTATGAATAGCATATTGGAACGGTCCCGTTCGACCGTGGAACTCGATGCTTCATTTTAATCCGGACCAGAGGCGCGCTTTATTATTGCCGAACTGCCAGGGATGTTTGATCTACCGTTGTATCAGTAGTGGCAACAATTGAGAAGGGTAGACAGAGGGTGCGATATTGGTATTTGATTGTTTGGGTAGATTCAGAGTAGACCGGTTCTTTTTCAAGCTTGAGGTTTTTCTTCGTTTACTTTTGGTATTGAACCGGGCGAAAAGACGTGGGTTATTGTAATTTAGTTCACATTTCTTCTTTTTCTATTTTCCGTTGTTCTACTGCAATTTAGTATGCAGGACTAATGAGCAGGTTTAGATTGACTTAAAGTGCCAATGAACTTTAACTCTACTGCGTTCTTCCGTTCGAGTTTGGGTCAACTTTGGAATTGAATCAGGCGAAAAGACGTGGGTTATTGTAATCTGGTTGAGGTGTCTTCTTTTTTATTTTTTAATGTGTTAGTGAAATTTGGGATGCAAGGCTAATGAGCAGGTTAGATTGACTTAAAGTGCCAATGAACTTTAACTCTAGTGCGTTCTTCCGTTCGAGTTTGGGTCAACTTTGGAATTGAATCAGGCGAAAAGACGTGGGTTATTGTAATCTGGTTGAGGTGTCTTCTTTTTTATTTTTTATTGTGCTATTGCAATTTGGATGCAAGACTAATGAACAGGTTTAGATTGACTTAAAGTGCCAATGAACTTTAACTCTAGTGCGTTCTTCCGTTCGAGTTTGGGTCAACTTTGGAATTGAATCAGGCGAAAAGACGTGGGTCATTGTATTGTGGTTGATGTTTCTTTTTTTTTTTACTTTTTATTGTGTTATTGCAATTTGGATGCATATTTAGTTTGGCTTGTGCGTTCTTAAGTTATTTGGTCAAACAGGACCCAAAGACCTTATGTGTATGAATTTAGACAATAAACTTGGAAGAGAGGTTTCAGTCGACAGGTTTATACAATTTTTCGTTAGATCGTTTCTGGCTCGAGCACGGCAACATTTTCTGCTTCAGTATTTTCGCCTAACAAGTAGCGAAGGTTTTCTCGAGATTACTTGCGAACCTTTCATGGATACCGCTTATACATTTAAGTCAAGTGCAAGGTGCTTCGAACTTTTTAGATAACGTTTCGAAACTCTTCTGCTGTAGGAAGTTCGTTCTATGCAAAATCTGATGAAACATGAAAGTACTGACAAATTCGAAATTCGAAAATTATTTATGAAAACAGCGACCAAGTTCCAAAAGATTAACACTAAAAAAATTCAAAATTCCAAGGTTTCTTATGAAATCAACGACCAATTTCAAAGAAACTCTCACCTCGAATCGATCCTAATCAATTTTCAAACGACTCGAAACACCTCGAAATTAATTAACACTCTAAAAATTCAAACTTCCAAAATTCCTTACAAAAAACCGACCAATTTCGAGGAAACTCTAAACCGAAACGGGAGGAAACAATCTTATCGACGTTCTGTAACAATGGAGTATCTCATTCAATTACACGTCTTCCCATTTACACCGACGTTCGAGGGTCTGCATCCGTTTCCTGTTCGTAACAGATGAAAAAGCAGGAGAAACAGCGCGCATCGCGATAACAGGCGGCAGCGTATCGAGAAATTCTCCTACGAATCGGTTTCTCCCTTGAAGAATACAGGCTCGTCGAACGAGATTTGGCCAGCACCGACTCTCTCTCTCTCTCTCTCTCGCAACCTCGATCGCGTACCCGTAGTCTTACAACAATTGATCCAACTTGGGAATGATCCAGCCCCGTGCACTCTCGGTGCATTTCATTTCTCGAACACGAGGCGAACCTTTCAATCTGCCACGAGATTTTTGTAACCCGTGGAACGTGGAATGAAACGAGCGAATCCGGGGCTACCAGAGCTTTTTCTTCTCTCATTTTCTGTCTCGTTGGCTCCCCTCCGCCGAAACAAATTCGCTCGTGCGAGCGGAACCGGAGGAGGAACGACCGTTTAAAAAGGAATTTAAACTTTCTGCTTGGAATGTAAAAAAAAAAAAAAAAAACGGGGAAAAAATGAATCGGGGAGAGCAGACTCTTCGTCTTGTTCAGCGAAAAATCGAGGCATTGTGAAATCTGGTTAAAGATTCTTTAGAACATTTCCGTAGTTGCGACTTTTATCGAATAGGTACAAAAAGGATTTATGCTTTTCGTACTGTCTGGACCAACGAATTTCGGTGGTTTGTTTTTTAAACCGGAAATCCTTTTTATTTATTCATTTATTTATCGAATTCGCATAGAAGAATTTTTTATATTTATCTAACGATCAGACTCCTGTATTTTCGCGCGTATATTTCGCAAACTTCATTTTCGTGAAATATTTCAAAAAATAATATCTGAGTATTCCGTTTGTTGACTTCTTTTGCGTAAAAATTTGCGTATTTCTCACTCCTCGATTTTCGATAAGT